GACATCAGTAGAATGTTGACATCACTACCAGTGGCAATTTTCAGTGGGACTGCTAACTCTTCTAATGTCAAGTTTAGCATCTACCGCATCTTGTTATAGTTGCACATACTTCCTCCACTCTGTTAACAACAAAGTGATTGTAGTCATCATCTTCATTGTCTTTATTGCTTCTCCATGCTGGTTAAGACTCATTGATGTAGTGGACTTTCTTCTTTCCTCAGCACATTCTTTTAAAATCTCCATTTTGGCAGTTTCTGCATGTTTTTTTTTTTTTTTAAGTGTTTCACCCCAAGCAAGGTTTTTTAGCCACTAGGACGCAAAGGGGTCAGAAAATTTAGAGCAAGATCAGATAGGAGTGATAGAAGAAAAATGAGGAGATGGGTCATGCCTAGATCAAGGCAACTGGAGATGTCGATTGACATTACATTTGAATAGCTGGACATTATAGCTCTCAGGAAACTGGAATAGGAAGGGAGTTCCACAGGCGAGAGGTGTCATGAAGCTATTGGAGTAGAAGAGATGGCTACATTTAGGAGTTTCGACAGTGAAGGGGTGAGAGTTGGATGCCAGCCTTGGTGTTAAGATGAACTCATGAAGTCTGGGAACCAACCTTTGCAGCTCCTCGGAGCAATTGTCATGAAAGTATTTGTAAAACTGACAGAGAGAGGTGACAATGTCATCTGTGAGAAAGTGACTGTAGACGAGATGCCAGATCAGGGCCAATTATTTTGCATATCCGCCATCTGGAGCCTATCAAGAACCCCCAGGTCAAACAGAAGGGGACTCCAGACCATATATGGCATCAATTCTCCATGCAAGGGCGAATGGTTGATTTGTAGATAGGAGGATTGATTCCTGTCAGAAAAAAGTTTCCTGGTAGTCATCTTCAGCCAACTTTCCTTGTGGTGGATGAAGCAATTGACTCAATGTATTTTTTCCATCTCAGGTCAGCCTTTCAAAATGAGACCGAGCAGCCGCTGAATTTCTTCATGTCTGTCCCTTAGCAGGTCATGCTCTGTTCACATGTTGATAGTCACATCTTCTGCATTCTTTTTTATAAAATTCTTTTTTATCTCGGTCATTTTTATAAAAATTATTTCTCTGTAGGTATCCCCACCTAGACCCCATGTTGTGTACAGCTATGTTCTCTCTGTCTTGTGTACGTTTTTTTGTAATTTCATGATTTTTTACAAAGTCTTATCACTGTATCCAGCCAGGTCTCTCAATTTTGACTTTGTTCTTTCACCCCATACACCCAATATTATTTGGTCATGTATCATACTGTCCTTTAGTTGTTCAAAACCTCATTTTTTGGCTTGTGAGGTGATATCCATTATGAAAGACAAGAATGTTTATCCTTTTTGGTTTCTGTTGTCAAAGGTATATTGTCCGTGGCCTAAGTCATTTTTACCCTCCATGAACTTTGAGATATTGCAAATCAAAAGCACTGTAGCTACCTTTTTCTGCATCTGTGAATGACAATGTATACCTTAATTGCCTTTTCACCAGCTATGTGTAAGAAGAGTGTGCATTTAACACTGTCCAGCTTTGACATTTTTTCCTGATGCCACAAGGTATAATTCGAATTTCTGGTACCAGGTCTTGAAATTTTCTTTGACATTACCTGTCTAGGACATTTGTGTTGGCGGTTGTAAAAGGTCCATGCTGATTCTCCACTTCTGACAGCATGTAATGAGAGAAGGCTGAAATCAGGAATTAAGAGAATATGCATAGTGTTTGCTTTATGCTTTTATTAGCTGTGCTTACATGTCTGAACATCCATGAAGAAAAAGAAGCTAAAACCTTGTTTCTATTTCTGGAGTGACGTCAGTGAAGAGTTCTAATAATGAGATAACTTCTTATAACTATTACAATGAAGATAAGTTTTGAACATTTTATTTTATTTCATTTACTATTTATGCTTTATTTCTTAATATTGAACTCTTTACTTACAAAGACTGTTTGCTTTAAAAATGTTATCTTCCAGAAATATAGTGTATTCTAACTTTATCAAACAAAATATATTGGAAAATCGAAATCACTTTTTATTGTCAAGAAAAGAATCTGAAAAATTTGCTTCATTTTAGAATAAAGATGACCTTTTTTAGGATTGGGATGACAAGTTATTAAATTATTAGTGTGTTGAATGATCTAATTTTTAAGTATTTCTGTTTTATGAAATTATTTATATTTATACTCCTTTTATAATAATAGCTAGCCAATAAAAAATAAAAATCCTTTATGGTTATTTCAGAAAATTACAATCTACCATTAGAAACCACGTTTTTTGTACAATACACATAATTCTGTCTCTCATATTTTTCTTTTTAGAAAAAAAAAAAATTTTTTCTAAGAATGTCAATTTCATTCATTTTTTTTGTAATCAACATAAAGACAACACTTGAAAATTCTTTTCTCTTTTGACACGAAAAGTATGTTGTGATGCATACACAACAGAAAATGATTTTACAATTACTTTTTTTTAAAATTTTCAAACAATTTCATAAAGTAAAAATAAAGCTCAATCTTCTTGTCTGACAAGTTGTCATCATTTTTTGAGTAGCTTGGTTAAAAAGAATGTACTAAATTTGTACATTTTTTGAGTTGATCACAACTTATTGATTAAAACGTAAAAATTAAATATCTTTATAAAAGTTTATTAATCAACATTTTTTTAGTGTCCAAATCACTGTTCCACATCTTTAATGAATTTTTTTTAGTGATACAAAGAACGTGAAAGTCTGAAAGATTATTCCTTCAAGAGTTGTATCAATAATCTAAGAAGCACCCTTTCTTTGACCAGAAAAACCCTGACAAAATCTTCAATAAATTAGTTTTCAATTCTTGGACAGCTTTCAGAAAGTAGCTTCGTTTAATTTTGTGTGTGTGAGTTAATGAGAGTGACCATTTAAAACAATCGCTTTCATTAAAAACAAATATCTAGTGAAAAGCAGTCCAAAAACAAGAATTTGAAAATAAAATACAATACATCCATGGTGATTTGTGCGAGAGTTTAAAGCCGCCCCGCCTCAACATAAACAGAACTAAACAGAAGACTAGATTTGGCTTGTCCTCAATTGATGACAATGTTATTGAGTTGACCTGTAAAAATAAAATCATTACAGCCTTTAATTTTCAAAATAATCAGAAAACTTTTTTTTTACCCTAAAAACATTAGCTTCTAAAAATTTAAAATCTTATAATGTAGAAAAAGGTCTCATTCCAGAAAATAAGTACTGCAGAATAAAGCAAAAAATATTTGTAGAAATAAAATCAAACATAGTAAGAAACACAAAAAATAAAAATTGCAAGAGAAAAAAATAATTAAAATATTGGAACTGTGTAGTAAAAATTAATATAGAAACTATTTTATTTTAATAAAATTGAAAATGATATTAAAAATTTCTATGAAAAATGAATTCAGAAAATTGATTCTTTAAGTAAAGAAACTGTTTTAAAACATTAAAGATTTTCAAAAAAAAAAGTTAAATTAAAAGATTCTTAAAAGGAAGTTAGATGGTTTTCTTTTTAAACATTCCGTGGCAAAGATTTTTACAAAAAATTTAAACTCAGCTTTGCTTTGATGTTGTCAAAAACCAGCCAAACTGAAATCAAAATTTTGAAACGGCTTATAAAACATGAATTAAAATTGACGTGTAAAGATTTCAGAAAAAAAAAAAGAGTTAAATTAAAAGAAAAAAACACTTCAAATTGTTTTTTTTTTTAAAAACCCGCCAAAAGGAAGTTATTTTTTTTCATGAACTGTTGTTTTTCTAAGAGAAAAACAGATTTATTTTTTTCATGAACTGTTGTTTCTGAAAAAAAAACCTGCCTTGATAGTTTACTTTTTTTGAAACACACCGGAAATTTTGTGTAAGGTCTAAATTAGACTCTAATTTATTTGGACAATAATTTGTACATAATATTGCTAAGATATTTGTCCCCTCTTTAATGTTTGTAACAGTTTGTTTCTTTACAAAATTCTTGTCAGTTCAGTGCCTTTTTAAAGGTATTTGTAAAAAAAAAAAACAGATAAGAAAATTGAAATCCTCTTTCCCTCTCTACTTTTTTAAAATTTAATATCTGATTTAGCCCCCGCCCCGCTCACCACCATACAGACCCCAACTTTTATTTTGTGGCGTCCTGCTTCTTATCAAATATCTACTAAAAACCCTGGACAGGAAATCTAATTTGTCAAATATCAACAGAACTTGTTACTCCAACAAGCACAAATTAAAATAAATAAAAAGGAAAGCATTGTTAGCTAAAAATTTTCTAATCTTGACGCCAAATTCCCTGGGCTACGTCGTCACGCTGAAGGAATCTATGTAGTAATAGATCAACGAGTACGTCCAGTGCCAAATATGAAAAAAAATGTTCTATAGCTGACCGTTTTTTTCCTCCCGTTTGATTTCTCTACTAATCTGCCATTCAATAATAATAAGCAGTTGTACTTAACTTGTAGCTCTCATTGTGGTTCCTAACAAAATTCGCCTTAAAACTTCCAATCATGACGGAAATTTAAATACTTTCTCTTTTTTTTTATAGCTTCGTAACCTACTTTTACAACTACATGTTGCTGTATGGTAGATAGGTAGTGTGTGTTTGTTTTTTTTTACAGTGTGGTCTCAACGAGGATATTTGATCTTATTAAAGAAAATCGTAGTACATTAGACACGCATAACAGATCGGCAGGTCTCGGCCCACGTGAGCATACATAATATTATCAGCAGCAGATGCTGATCAGTCAGCAGAGGTGACCCAGCTGCGGCATAGCTTTGCTGTATCCGACCTGTCTACCTGACAAATGAGGACAACACACAAAAGGTAGCATTACATGACAAACGGAGCCGGTAAACAACATTAAGAAAAGGGTCTAAGGGGGGGAAAAAAGGGGGACTCTTAAAAAACGTGAGTTATCCACCCGATCGAGCTAAAAAAAATAGCAAGGAAAAATGGTTGGAACCTACAGTGTAGTCGCCATATCAGGGAGTTGTGGAATGGTTCTGGGGGTGACCCTTTACGGTCTTTATTTGTGTCGTAAAGCTCATTCCAAGAGTATCTACGAAACACAAAAATCCGTCGATGAGTATATGCACTTCCATTACGGGAACTTCGAGTCGGGTTCGCATGGTAACTGGTACAAGGAACATACAATTGATGATGGATTTAACTTTCCAGTTCGATGTGTTATTCTCTGCGCCAAACATTGTTCAGAGGTATGTGCACCATCTCCTTTTTTTTTTTTTTTTTTTTTTGCGATATTTCAATTAAAAAACATTTTTTCGCAGTGGCAATATAAGTGCAATCTCTCCTCGTTTTCGACTGGTACTCATTTTCTCCTAACTTAAATAAAAATTGTTAACTAATCGTTTTGAGATCGTAAAAAGAACCGTCAAACCATCCCGACAGTTTTTTTTAAGAACAGAAAAAAGCAAAATTAAATCAGCTGATAATAATTACAACATTAAGGGAAAAAAAGTATGTTTGGTCACATAATCATTTATTAATTTAATAACGAAAACTAATTGAATTAGTGAGTTTTAAAAACTTTTAGTTTTTTAAATGGGCTTCCCCTTCCAGTCTCCATTTCGTCTCTATAGCCTTTCGTCGAAAAGGCTTTAAAATTTTATTTTAAAATGTGTGATGTGAAATAAAAAAAAAAAAAACGCAATTGTTCAATAACTTAAGTTTTAAAAAAATAACTTGGTCTGAGTTCCGCATGATGAGTATGAATTATTGCAGTAAAAGTAGTTGTGCTCTAAACTGTTCTTCCCTAGTTTTAACTTTGAATTGATAATTACAGTTTTGGTCGATGCGTGCAAAGTCTTATCAATATGTAAATTTCCCGTATTTCGCACAAATGCAATAAAATCTTTAGTACCGACCTTGTTTGAATTATTTAATGGACAGCCATGAAAAACCAACCCTCTAAAGGGATAAAAAAAATAACATTGTCTGTATTTCATTTTTCTCTATTAAATTAAAAAAAAATTAAACACTGATTCTTGCCCTTGCATGTCTATTTTCATTTTAAGTCAGCTAAATATTTTCAGCAATTTTTCGTGTAAATTAAAATGACAAGTTCATCAATTAAAACAATCACAAATTTCAATAAAACTTAAAAAAAAAAAGTTTCTGTATCATTATTTATTAATATTATGTGTCTTCCAGTTGCGAAAAAATGTCACAATATGAAAGCGTGATAAAAAGAACAATAAGGTTTTTTTTTTCTCTAAAAACACCGTAATTGAAGTGTGTGTTAAAATAACTTTTCAATTGGCGTAGAAGAAAAATATTTTAAAATATTTACCAGATATTATTTGGTAACTTAAAAATTAATAATGCTGAAAAAAAAAAAAATCAGTAAGTCTTCTTACAAAACACAAAACCGTAATTACTCGGTGATGAATCTTTTTTGCCTTAAAGATTCTATATTTTTTTAAAGTGAGTAGAACTAGAATATTTTGATGGTCATCAATTTCTATTTCAGGAAATAATTTTAATTGGCTTTCGTAATGGTAATTTCTTGATAAAAAAAATAAACTAGCTGGTTTTAATCGGTATTTGACGAAAAAATTTTATTTATATTTTTTTTTTTTTTTTTTTTTTTTACACACAATTATTTTTTATGTAAAAGTTTAGAGAACAATTTGACAGATTACAAAGAGAATCATAATGTATTTTTTAAGTACATTCCATTCATTTTTTTTAGCTTTGGTTCCAAGGACAATTTGGTTTGGTTCTGTAATGTAATCTAATTCCATTTTAAAGACTTCATGGATAATTATGGCTTTAGTTTAACTTAATTTCTTTTTTGTTAAAATACTGTTAAGTTAATGTTAGGAATGCAATCATTAAGTCGAAAGAGTATCTTAAATTTTTAAACTATAATGAATGTTGCGTGTGTACATTTCGGTTCGTTTATGATCCCAGCTCGAAATGAGAAAAGTCTTTTTTTTTTTTTTTTTTTTTTGATGGGGGTAGCAGCTAGTTAAGATTAGGTGTCCTGTGCACCCCGCCCCCTAAAAAAAAAAAAACTGCTAAAAGTTAAAAATAGTTCTTTATTTTTATATTTTTCAACAACACAAAATAAAACGTGTGGGAGTGGAATGACCATATTGGAAATTATAATATTTCCAATACGGCCATTCCCTACCCGTACAATTCAAGGAACATGATTTCAACTTTTAGTGTTTCTAGAATTTTTAGTTTCTCTTTATGAACTTTGAAAGTAGATACACAATTTTTTATTTTATTTTTATTTTCTGTTCAGTTATTGGAAACTGAAAGTGTACTGTAGATTTGATTTTTTTGTAGATGCTTTAAGGAAAAATTGTTTTACGCTGGTTTATTTTTTAAACGTTCTTTTATTTTCATAACTTAAGTCAATTAGTATTGTTTTACTAAATTTGTGGTAAGATTTTTTTTTAATTACGTCTTTATTGTGAATTAATGTCATTTTCCTCTATTGAAATTGAGTAAAATGTAAGAAATATTGTTACTTTTTTTTTTTTTTAATAAACATCACAATTTTTTTGTTACGGCAGATTGCTTTCCGAGAAAATTTAAAGTAAAATATTTAAAAAAAAAAAATTCTTGGGTAATTTATTTAAGGGATAAAATAAAATTTCAATTGAGTAAAAAATGCTTAAATTATATTTGATCGTAAGTAAATAATGTTTTATTTCCAATATGCAACTGGAATACGTGAAAAATTTGTTATTAGTATTATTACTATTATTAGACATTAAAAAAAAAATGTTCATTCATTATTTGTGCAATGGTTTGTCCTTCACCTTTTAATTTAACTTTTGAAAAGTCAACTCTTAAACTAAACAAACAGTAACACTGAAAAACCGTTGACCGGCTTTAAATGTCACTTACCTTGATTTCGGTAAAAAAAGTGAATTTGCATTTGCTTAAAGTTTGTTCATAAATCAACTTTAATAACAATCTAAGACGATTTTTAATTGTTTTACTTGAACTTACTGTCTAAAGTATAAACCCTTTTTTCCAGCGTCAAATTAAAATCCTTGAGCTCTTTCTTTGAAGTTAGTCTTCTTTTGTTTTTGAACTAGAAATTTTTAAAGTTTTACAATTTATGTATAATTACTCAGTAATAATATTCAACAAAAATGTCTACATTTTCGTATGTAGGTTAATTTTTGTTTGTGTATAATTTTTAAGAATAAAATCTTAATACCTGAAGCTGAAAAATGTATGGTTTGTTTGTATTATTATTGTATCTTTTTATTTTATTTTTATTTATTCGTGTAAACGAGAATTTGCCGAAAAGGTTGATAAAAAAAGTTCATACGAATGTATACCCAACTCAGTTTGGTTGTGGATGTTTAGCGGATTGCTTCGATACCGGCATGTGTTAAGTGTTAAAAAAAAAAAGTTATTTTGCAGATGCTGGCATTTTTTTTACTGGGTTGTGTGATGCTTCACTAGCATTCCACTTTAACTCTTGTCTTAAGACTTAGTCTTAGGGCGATTGTAGATTTTTTTTTTGGGGGGGGGGGGGTACTGAGATTGGTAAAAAACATAACTTGCTTTCCACTAAGTACCGTCACGAATTTCTTAAAAAACGCAAAGAAAAACGCATTTTAAATATCTTCAGTTCATTGAAGTTAAATTTTTGTTTTATTTGAAAGATCAATCAATACCCTTAAGTTAAAAAATGCTAAAAATCTGTATTAAAAGAAGTTAATTTTCAGCATCTGTCTAGATTTCTGAGATGAGGTATTGTACACTATTTACATTGCTCGAGGACATATGTCAGTGGATAAAGGCGTTAGTTAGATCCAGTGACAGGACCCAAAGAGTGTGAGTTCACATACCTAGTTATGGCACTGGAGAACATGGAGAGGGGAATTAATAGGAGATACTGAACTTTATAATCCAAAATTTCAGAATATATTTTTTTATTCTTTATGCTTTTATGAAACTTATTAGAAAGAATAATTTTATTTTTTATACTAGTTTTTTTTTTTTTTTTTTTTTTTTTTTTTTTTTTTTAGATACTCTTGAGTTCAGTTCATTGCTTGTTTTTTTGATTATTTTCTTACCTGTTTGGTACAATAAAATATTTAATTATATCCAATGTGGTCTTTTTTTTTAATTATTTTATTCTGAATTAAAAATGATTGAATTATCATGTCATATTATTACTCTTTTGATAGGGAAGAGTATTCAGTCAAAAGTAGTAATTCAGAATTATTTCCCTTTTGAACATCTGTACAAAAATAATTTAACAGTTGCTAAAATGAAAAAAATAACAAATTCTTTTAAAAAAGATTCACACTAGAAAATGCCATTAAACTTTACAGTTGTATGCCCCTTACCTAAAAGCAAAGACTTTAATAAATGAGGTGTTTGGACTGCTTTTTTTGTGCATTGCTATTTAATTTGGATGTTCCAGAAAAAATGTTATTGAAGAAAAATTCTTTGGATTTTCTAACCAATCAAAAGCAAGGAATTCAAATCTGCCATAATTTGAAATGGTATCTGAGTGATCCTTGGGAACAAAATGTAAACAAGGTAAAGATCACTATTCATTCATGCTGGTGTCACATCTATGGATGATAGGACAGTCTTCAAAAGTAAACCTTTGCAGCTAAAAATGACCAAGATCTACCAGTTTGTTTGAAACCAACTTCAAAGGGGGATGCAAATCAAGCTTTCATCATTTTGCTGTTACAAAAATAACTTTCTCAAACCTTCCTCATCCAAATTTTTTGCAACTACTACTTTGACCTCAACTGCTGCCACGTCTAAATTTCATAACTCCTAGAAAACTTCAACTCTGTCCCTGGACATTCTTAATTTTTATCTATTATAAATCCTAATTTTCATGTGAACATTATCTTTTTACCTAGCTTAATTTTCATTAGGTACCCAAAAGAATATTTTGAACAAGATGTTATACTCTTTCTTTCATTCCCAATTTAAATTTAATTGTAAATAAATTCTTTCTGCTCAATTTCACACCAAATAAGAATTCTTTTCCTGTGCACCTATACTATGTATGTATGTATGTACATACGTATGTTCCAATTATTTATTTGTTCAAGCTAGTTCGGACATTCATGAGTTTATGCCAATCATCACGGTCCTGCATCAAGGTAGGAAGATCATTAGGGAGGCATTCTGTGTCATAACATAACTGGTCAGTGTAGGTGGTTTCTGTGCAACCAACCTGTCTTGCTCCATG